GGACTATACTGTCAATCGGTTTGAGCAGTTGAATTTGTGGTAATAGAGTGAAGATAAGTCAAATAGGTCACCAAGTGTCACGGAGAGCCAATATAAAGCTCCAGCTCTACTGTAAAATGTTGACTCTACCTTTAAAAATATTTTTGTCATTGGTTGTTCAAAAGCTATGTAATGAGAGAATAGCTCAAAATATTAATGAAACAGTAAAACAAGCATGTACTGGACTATGTCTCTGGCATTCTAAACAAGCTGGAATTGTCTAAAGTTTTGATTATCTCAAAGTAAAAAAATGACATTTTTGAATATTATCAATATATACATCATCATGCAGAGCACCAAATTAAAAAAAAAAGAAACTTGGGTCATTGGAGGGACATGGATGCTGGTGATGGGTTTTGAAAACTGGCAAATTCTTTCTCTTGCATACTGGGTTTAAATTCAAAATCTCACTTGTGGAAGGTAGATGCTTTACTGCTGAGCCATACCCCGAATGCTGGAAACTAGGTGGAGAGAGAGCACAGCAGGTAATGCACTTGCCTTGACACAGATGACCCAAGTTCAATCCCTGCACCACAGGCACCCGAGTACTGTTGGAGTGATCCCTGAGCAGAGAACCAGGAGTAAGTCCTGAGCACCACTGGACTTACTGCTGGATATGTCCCCTAAACCAAACAACAAAATTCCTGCCAAATGCCCAAAATGCTATTATCAACAGACACGTAAATCACGGTAAGTTAAAAATTAAAACACCGATAGCCATGTCCTACATCAAGATTGCAAAGATAGATGGAAACACAAGAAATTACAAAAGTCACTTAGTGAAAATTGTGTATACTCTGAAAAAAATGTTAACTATTCAGTTCTGTAGGTAGATATTAGATAATTTAATGATAAATTAAAAGAGAAAAAGGGTTCCAAGGAGATTATGTTCATAATTGTTCATAGCAGCTCACTTTGTGGCGTTCTGGGGTTCCCAAGGAGCAAATCCAAGCCACAAATGCAAAGTATCTAACACTCTATGTCTGAGCTACATTCTTGGGTCCTTTGAATTTTCTACATTCTAGTTACCACATCTGATAGGTTATAGAAACTCTTGAGAGGAGGGAAGGCAGAACTGATGGTTGGTACATTATTAGATGAAAATAAAGCTGCAAGGGATTAGGCAACTTGCCTAAGATCACATGTCAGGAGGTGGCAGAGCTAGAAGTCTAGCCTGTTTGCCAGCTTTGTCCATAGCTCTCTTCTACTATACTGAATTCCAAGCTGCTGAAGTGAAAACTCGAAGGGAGTTCAGAAATCTCAGTGTCCCCGTAGCCATTTGTTCTGATAAAAATACGCTTTCTGGGGCACCCATTTTTAAAAACATAAAAATTCCCTAGAGTCTATGCAGGCAGACGTGCTGCATAACCTACAGGAAAGAGGATTTGAGTAAGAGCCCTAAGAAGTGAGTTCAGTGACTAAGCTTAAAAAACCATATTCTATCTCAACACGTTCAACGTGACAGACAGGTGGCTAATTTACAAAGCTCAAAACATAAAGTAAAACACTAGACTCCTCCACCATATTAGCTACCTTTTTAAGAGTGCAGTGGCCTTGCAAGGCTAGTGGTTAGTGGCCAGCATGGATACAGGACCTTTCCATCATCGCAGAAAGTTCTTTGGAAAAAAGAATTCAACCCTTGGCTTTGAGGATGAGAAATGTGGGAAAAGAAAAAGATGACATCAATAACAACAAAAAAGAAATTAGGGGAAAGATCTTATCAAACAAGTGCCATATAGTTAGTTAATGGCAGAACTAAGACTTAAGCTTTTGCCAACGTTTCTTCTTCCTATCTCAAATTAGGGTAAGTTCAAATGGGGTCAACTTCCTTTCCATCCTTTCTTAGGGGTTCCAGAAAAATGGAGAGAAATCCTAACTAGGGGAAAAACACTCAGAAGGTTTACAGAAAGATTATTTTAAAAGTTCTAGACCAGGCTGTGGAGATAACTCAATGGGTTAGGATGCATGCTTTGCAAACCGGAGGAGGACTCAATCTCTCATACTGCTTGATCTCCCTCAACTGCCTGGTCTGTCCCAATATTGAAATTCAAAAAAATCTGGACCAATTGACAATCTGCATACAAACTGTAACTAATCTTTGTTAAAAACACAGGGGTATGGGACCAGGGATGTGGATCAGGTGACAGAACACATGTCTGTGCAAGGCCATGGGTGTGATCTCTGGCATAGCAAGGCCCTCAGGTTGGCCTGTGCAGGTTCCCAAAACAGCAACAGCAGTAGCAACAAAATAGAGAAAAAAAGACACTGGTATCAGGAGTAGCTTGTCGAAACTATTGGAAGTTCTTTCTTTTCTATTGCACTTAAAAAAACAAAAACAAGAAACACCATCCCTATCTCTCATATTTGAGACCCTGTGGCTAATGATACATTTTAACTGGCTAATCTTAAAATTGTGTATGTGAAGAGTGAGTCTCCTACTGTGAACATTTTCAAGATGAAAAATTGAAAAATAAGGAGCAACCAGAAGAGACTAGTGTATTTTTAGAACGTGGTCACTCAAACCACTGAGCACTGTTGGAGTTCAGTAATTCAGTGGTTTAGTATTTACGACAATACTACAATTTAACTTTAAGCTATTGTTTTATTTTTCTTTTGACTTTTATACACATTTAAGATAGCTTAATTCCCAATGTAATTAAGGGACTAAGAGCTTCTGAACAGCAGTTTAGACACTAATCAGGCCAACTCAAAACCAGTCATTAAAAATATAGCGTGTCTTCTTTAAAAATAAAAACCAGTTGTTCCTGTCTAGTATGTTTAGAATGCAAATGTCTGCAAAGTCAGTCATGGCAGTTCAAATTTGAAGCAAGCAGGAAAATGACTGGAAACTGCACATTTCTTCAAATGCCAAAGGAAGAATAAGACAGCCCAATTAATTTTTTTCATTATCTTGTACTCATTTCCAAATTTAAGCGAAAAGTGGCTATACTTAGAATAGTGGATATCAAAGTTTATCTAAAATGAAAATTGCAGCTTAAAAACACGGCAATATGATGCTTATGAATAGTTACTGAAGATCATTTTGGCCATAACTGAAAAGGCACCCAGAAGACTTGAGTATGGGATTCTATATAAATAGAAGCTACTTGTTATTCACAGGAGGTGGTGAAAAAAGTAAAAGGCAGCTATTTTCTTTCTAAACACTTTTTAGCACTGAGGTAAACAAACGGGGTGGGGTGGGGGGGCAGCAGAATACAGCCTAAGAACGCCGAAGCGCGTACAAAGTCTCTAAATCATAGAAGGTGGGAAGCAGGTGCTCTACCTAACCTTATCTAAGGGACTGAGAGTTTCAGGTGGAGCTTGCGTCTCCGAGCTTCTAGACCACATTGACCACATCTTACGGTATCTGTTAATCTTCAGACTTAACACCAGGAAGAGGAAAGCATGCGCCCCCTAAATTCTTGTGTCAGTGACCCTACTTTCAGGGGCAGCGTGTTCACCGGGCGACAAGGGAGCCTTGGGAAAACGTTCAAAGAACAGGAGCAGACACTGAACTAGAGTCACCGGGTGGTGTATATAGGTGAGGACTTGGGCCAATTTAGAGGGCAACCCCAGGAAAGGATGCTTGCAAACCTCGTAGGAGAGTTGCAAGGAGAAAAATAAGGAGAGGGGCCTCGGAGAGGGCAAACAACTCGGAGAAGACCCTCCCCCGCCTCCTCACGCAGAGACAAGGGTGAGTTTGTGGGGGGCCCTTCCCATCAGCCCTCTCTTGCTAACCTGGGGACGCTCCCAGCACTCCCCACGGGGCAATCAGGCATCCCCAGGGAGAGGATGGAGGCAACAAGCAAATGACAGGAGAAGTCTTAGAGATGCTGCTCAACTTTCACAGGGCACCAACAAGCAACCCCCCACCCCGAAACAAAACAACTGGGGCAGGGACACCCCCACCCCTGCAAGCCCCCTCCCCACGCGGTCCTTTCCCAGCCCCCCCCAACAAGGGAGGGGTGCGCGACCCCGCTAAAGTTTCCAGCGGCTCCTCCCTCTCCCCTGCCCTTCCTTCTTGGCACACCCCAAATGTAGGCCACCGAGTGGGGGGGACGGGGGAGGGGGGAGAGGTGGGTGGGGGAGCCAAGGAGGATGTGAGAGCGGATTCGAGAAGCGCCAGCCGGGAGCCGCAGCCGGGCGACCTACCCCTCGGCAGGGCCAGCCGAGGACTGGGCCGGCGGCTGGGGGTGACCTCCACGGCCTCCCTCCCGCGCCCCTGCAACGTCAGGGCCCCGCGTTCGCAGCCCGCGCTGGCGCCCCCACGTGCCCCCTTTCCCCTAGGGCCACCTCCACGTGCCGCCCCGCCCGCTGCCCCCGCGGCAACCCCAACCGGGCTCGGGGGGCTTCTGGGCTCCGGCACCCCGGGGGGCGGCTCGGTGCGAGGGGGCCACCCGTGGGGGTGGGGTGGGCAGCGGGACGCGGAGAGAAACTTTCTTCTCCGAGGTTCCTTCCCCGGAGCCGAGTGGGGGCAGAGAGAACCCCGATGAGTCGGTGGTGGTGGGGGAGGAGGAGAGCAGGGGGGGAGGGGACCCCCTGAACTGCTTAACGGCTGGCGGGGGCGTGGGAGGGGGTTTGCTCCGGAGGCGGAGGGGGGCGTGGGATGGGGTGGGTGGAGGCAGAGCAGGCCCGGGAGCCCGGGGAGGAAGCGGCGGGGGTCCTGGGGTCGGGGAGCGGCAGGCGTCCCCCCAGCACCACCCCAACCTGGCACACAAAGCGGTCGAGCCGCAATGGCCAAGTCGCGTGGGTGAAGGTTTCCCCACTCCAGTCACGCCGCTTCCCCTGAACCCCAAAGATCGGTGGTCCCGGAGGAACGCCCCCGGGGGGCGTGGCCCGAGGGGCGTGGGCGTGACGTCGGGCGCGGGGGTTGGTCACGTGCGGCCGGGCCGCGCAGGCTCCCCGCGCACGCGCCGTGCGGCTCCAGGTGAGCGCCCGCGTCGCTCCTCCAAGTCCGCGCGATGCCGCCCGAGCGGAGAAGCCGAAGGAAAGCGGGTCGCGGGCCCGGCGCGAAGCCGGAGCGGAAGGTCCGGAAGCGGCCGGAGCCGAGAGCCGGAGAGGGGCCGCGCGGGCCGCCCCGCAAGGCTGCTCCTTCATCCCCGCGCGAAGCCCCGGCCGGGCCGAGCGCCGCGACCGCTGCAGTCGCCGTCGCGGCGGCGGTGGCGGAGGAGAAGCGGCTCCGGCAGCGGAACCGCCTCACGCTGGAGGAGGACGAGCCGGGCGTGGAGCGGTGCCTGGAGGAGCTGGTGTTCGGCGACGCGGAGGCCGACGAGGACGCGCTGCTGCGGCGGCTGCGGGGCCCGCGGGTGAGGGGAGGCGGCGGCGCTCGGGCGGGGCGCGCGGGGGGCGGCGAGCCTCGGGGGCGGAGCCTGGGCGATCTGCGGCGCGCGCGGGCGGGCGGGCGGGCGCTGGGTGGCCGCGAGCCCGAGACCCCGGGGCCGCCCGTCTCCCGGAGCCCCGCGCGCTGCGCCGCGCCGCCTGCCGCTCGCTCCCCCACTTTCCCCCTCCGGGTCTGGCGGGTGCGGCCGGGGCGTCGTCGGCGCGCGCCCGGGGTCTGACCGTGACGCTCGGAGCTCGCTCGGCAGCCGGTCCCTGGGGCGCGCCGCTGGGTGTCCTCGCGGGGGCGGGGGGGGCGTGTCCCGGACTGCCCTGTGCTGGGTGCGAGGGGACAAACCTCTCGGCTATTCCGTTAGGTTTTTCTTTGCCGCGTCCCACTCCCCCCCGGCACCCGAAGCCCCGCGCCGCCCCGCTCCTCGGCTGCGACCCACCCTCCGGGCACTGCCGGAGGGAAACGCAGCCGCGGGCAGCGGCCCACGGGACCGTCTGGGAGCTCAGACCGGAGGCCGGGCGGGGGTGGCCGTTCGCGCAGCACGCCCGCGGCGGGGACCGGGAGGAGAGGAGGAGGACGGAGGCGCCTCGCCTTCCCCTTCGGACACCCCCCCCCCCCCCCACACACACACGCCGGGCCCTTGGCAGGACCTCACCGAGGAAACGCCGGTCCCGGGCGCGGGGACGTCGTTTGCTGAGTTCCGTGGTGTGTCGGTGCAGCCCGAGCCCACGTGAGTGCGTCTCCCGGGCTCTGGGTCTGGGTCCGTGTTGTGTTCGTAGTTGGCTCAGGACGGTCAGGAACGGAGTGCCCGAGAGAAGGGTGCAGGGCGCAGGGCGCACGCCCCTGCACCCCTCCCCCCGACCAGAGTTCGGTTCCCTGAGCACTCTCAGGAGTGAGTCCTGAGCACGGAATCAGGACTAAGCCCTGAGGACTTAGGGGTAGCCGCAAAGCTAGAAAGAAGCATCCCTGGCGCAGGGAAATGGGAAAAAGGGTTTTCCTAACAATCGGAGGTATCATGTTTGACATTTAATCAGGTCATTTTGTCTTCTGTGCTAGTCTGCCTCTGGTCCTGTGCTTTGAGTAGATCTGGAATTTTTCCCATTTTCTTTTCACAGGTTTTTAGTTTTTTTTTTCTTTTTCTTTGTGTCGCGGGTGGTTTTTAATGAACGAAAGTAGCTTAGGAGAGGCAGAGGAAATGGGTTCAAGAGAGAACACAGGCTTCTCCAGCCAGCAGTGAGATAAAGTGATCAACCCTTGTTATGCCTTGCTGGGTCTTTAACTTTGGGCGTTGTTAACTTTCTTTTCCTTGAATGTGCACCTTTTGTGTGTGTGTGTGTCACACCCAGCAATGCTCAGGGGTTGCTCCTGGCTTTGCATTCAGGAATTAGTCCTGGCGGTGCTCAGGGGACCATATGGGATGCTGGGAATTGAACCCGGTGGGCTGCATGCAAGGCAAATGCCCTGTCTGCTGTACTATCACCCCATATGCACCTTTAACCAGGTGGTTAGAGAAGGTCCCATTCATGCTCCAATCTCATTTTGTTTCTAGCATTGGCTCCTGACCGGTCCATCCATTATTTCATTAGTGGACTTAAAAAAAAAGTTAAAATTCAGTGTGTTATGTTTGTGACTATAAAATATAAACGCCTTTATGCTTGAAGATGTTTTGTTTTTTTTTTCTAGGTTCAAGTTCGGAAGGACTCTGATGACTCAGAAGTGGAGAATGAAGCAAAAGATAATTTTCCACCTCAGAAGAAGCCAGTTTGGGTGGATGAGGAAGATGAAGACGAGGAAATGTTAGTTGCCTTAATTTTTTTCCCCTGGAGTCCCTCTGCTTTAAAAATTATTTCATATGGGGTCAGAGTGATAGTATAGCATATAGGGCAGTTACCTTGCATGAGTCCTACATAGAGTTGATCCTTTGCACCCTAGGAGTGATCTCTAAGTCTTGGAGAATCTATCCCTGAGCATAGAGCCAGGAGTAAGTTCTGCTGGGTGTGACCAGCAGCCCCCCTCCCCCCATTGCAGTTTTTTTTTTTAGGTTCTTTTTACAAACATGATTTTGTAAAAAAAAAAAAAAAGCACATTGAGAAGTATACAAAGGAAAAGCCATTCATAAACGGCAGAGAGAAAATCATTGTTAGCATGTTGATGTGCTACTCCTTGTCTTTTTTTCTCATACTTAAAGAGACTAGTTAAGAGAGTACTGTGTCCAAAAAAAAAGTAATAGTGGGCCTTCTGTAAAGTAAAAGAAATCTAAAGAAAAAAATACACTCTTTTATTTAAAAAAGGAAAAAGACGTACTGTGTTTGATATCTGACCTGAATTTGCCTCCTGATTTGGTCAGCTCATAACTGGCCATGGACAAGAGAATGTACTTTTTCCCTTTATAAAATGCATGTAACAGGGACTAGAGCGATGGTACAGCCGGTAGGGTTTTTGCCTTGCACAAGGCTGACCTGGGTTAGATCCCCGCATCTGGGTTCAATCCCCGCATCCTGAGCACTGCCAGGAGTAACCCCTGAGCATTGCTAAGTGTGACCCCTCCCCCAAAAAATGCATGTAACAGTATTTTACTTTTCGTTTTTGGGGCCACACACTAGCAGTGCTCAGGGCTTATCACCACTGGCTCCAAGCCCTGGGATCTCATGACAGGGCTCTGGGGTCCATATGAGGTGCCAGGGATATTGTTCCCAAGTCACTTGTGTGCAAGGCGAGCACCCTGCACACTGTACTATCAGTGCTGTCCCATTAATCGTATTTGTATAGCAGTACATGAATTTATATAATTCTTCTTTGAGACGAAATAGGACAATGTCTGGAATTGTGCATAGGCTTAAGAAAGGTAGAATACGTAATATGTACCGTAGTGAATGAGAATATTTTGTGCTATTAGCATTTTTCCCCACTTAAAAAATAAATTTGGTGCCCAAGTGATAGTACAGAGGGTAGGGTGTTAGTCTTGCATGCAGCCCACCTGGGTTCAATCCCTGGAATTCAATGTGATCCCTCAAGCAACGCTAGGAATGATCCCTGAGTGCGGAGCCAGGAGTAACCCTTGAGCATCGCTGGGTGTGACCTCAAAAACAAAACAGTAAGATTCATCAGAGACAAATGTTTCCTCCTGGATTTTCATCATAGTATTTTTTTTTTTTTTTTTTTTTTTTTTTGGTGGGCGATGCACACCTGGCATTGTTCAGGACTTACTTTGGCTCTGCGCTAAGGGATCACTCCCGGCAGTGCTTGAGGGACCATTTGTGGTGGTGGAGATCCAGCCTGTGTGGGCAGCATGCAAGGCGGTCCTTATGCGCCATACTGCTGCTCTAGCCCCTCATCATAATATTCTAAGGTTTGACTTTCATAGTATTGAGTTTGAAATAATAGCTTTCTGAAGAGTTAGATAACTGGTTCTGGCTGGAGAGGTAGTCTAGGGATTAAGTCACTTTCCAGACATTCAGCCTGACTAGTGTGATTCAGGCACAGTGGGGTCGGTCCCCAAGCATCTAGCATTGCCTGAACTGGGAGTAGCCCAGAAGCAGGTTCAGTGTGAGCTGCTTTCCTCCTCCTCTCTATTGTTGGGGAATGGAGAATATGCATGTGGGTTATTACGCGCTTTAATATCAGGACCTAAATGTACTCAGTGAAATGTTTCAGAGTACTAGCAGCAGCAACTATTTGTTGATTTCTTAAAAGATATTTACGTATATGGTGCCGGAGTGATACGGCAGCGTGTCCCATACCTGAGCACCTCCAGGAGTAACCCCCTGAGCATTGCTGGTTGAGACCCACAGAGCCTAAATAAATTAAAAATATATATATATATTTATGTTTGAAACATGCTTTTTTTGTTTTTAGGGTTGAGATGATGAACAATAGGTTTCGGAAAAACCTGATGAAAAATTCCAGTGAGAGTAAACTTTCAAAGGAAAAGCTTGAAGAGCGACTTAAAGAAGAGTAAGTATCCTTTCTCATACATTTACCAAAAGGTATTTATTATCAGTAGTTCATCTTGATTTACCTAATCTTTGGGTAGTGAGATTTCCAGTTTGAAACAGTAAGAACATTGCTATCGGAAGAAATAATAATTTCAATACTTTGGAAGTCGAGGGAATAAAAGTAGAGAGAAAATTCAGGGAAAACATATGATACAATCAGCCAAATAAAATCAGAGCTAATTTGCTTGATCGCTTTCATATGGTAAGCCATTTTATTTTCTTAACTTTATAATATAAAAAATAGCAGCTACAAACAATTGGTATTGGGGTTTAATCAAATTTATTCTCTTGATTTGGCAGTTGCTTGATTTGCTTATGTGAGACACTTGGTTCAGTTCCTGGCACTGGTAAAACAGTTTTAAAAAACATCTGTTACTCGTTTTATCTGTTGGGATGTTTTCCTGATGTGTTTGAAAGTAAGATGAGACGCAGTGATGCTGCACTCCCATTTCTTACTGTGCATTAGCTAAGATTGAGGACATTTTCCTTCATATTCAGGATACTGTTGTCCTGCCTAAACAAATTAGTAGAGCCAAGGAGTGAGTTCAAAGGGCTGAAAGCATGCTTGCCCCCTAGAGTTGCCTGAGTTCTGTTCTTGGCACCAAACGGCTGCTCCTATGAGCACCGAACTAGCAGTTGCTCTGAAATCACTGCTAGAAGAGAAAAGACTTATTTGTAAACTTTGTTCTAAGAAGCATACTCTAGACTGAATTAGTATCATTACTAAGGTATGACTGGGTATTTACTGAATGTTCTGAGGCACTTCAATAAAGACTCTCCTTCTGACTGGTTGGAATGAGTGTCTGAGTTTTGGTATCCTGCAATTTACAGGTCTAAATAAGGAAAAAGAAAAAGGTTACAACACAAGCCAAACTTAAAACTTGAGAATTTAAAAAGCAGGTTTTTAACACTAGTCAGCTCAGAATTGTACTTTGCCTGACATGCGCTCCTTAGAAAAACATTTCCTAATGGATACCAGTTAGGTTTTAACTGCTAATGTAGTCAGAAAGGACTTTTTTTTTTTTCTGGGTCACACCTGGCGATGCACAAGGGTTAGTCCTGGCTCATGCTCTCAGGAATTACCCCAGGCAGTGCTCGGGGGACCTCTGAAAGCCTGTGTGCTTCCTAGTTAATTCATATATTTAAATTCGTATTATCTGTGGGATTGCTTGTGTGTTTACTCTCATTTAGCCTTGGTAAATATTTAATGAAAAGATAATCAGAAAGATTAAATTATGTTCTCAGTTATCTGTTAGGAATTGTATTTGATTTCCCCTCTTGCGTTTTTCTGTACTTTGAATCTCGTTCATGAAATTCGCATCCAGTACACTATAGTAGTTCATGACTGGATTTCATTCTTCCTAAGGTATTCTTATAGCAAGAAGAATTTTAAAAAGTCAAGTCACGTTATTTTTTTTCTTTTTTCTTTTTGTAAACTCCTGAATTCCTTATTATAGTTGCTAAGATGCAGCTTTTGCCTGTGTCTAAAATTTTACCTCAGATCTTTTACATCTCCTTTCCTACTCTAGCTAGGAAGTCCTTCTTTATGTTTCTTAAATGTTCTGAGACTTGTTTTTGTAAATCCCTTGTACTTTCCTTTCTGTTCAAGTAATACCTTGGAAAGAATTTTCCTGGCCATTCTATTTAAAGTGGTCTCCAGCAATTAACTTTCTAATTTGTCACTGTGTCTAACTTCTTCAAACGCTTTTCCAGTGGGATTCTTCCACTAACTATCTGTCAAAGGGAAGATCTGTCTGACAAAGATATTTTTCCCATTATAAAATACTGTTGTGTGGTAGATGAGAAGGGTACGCTGTTAAGCAAGTCAGTAGGGGAAAGGTAATCTGTCTCCCTCTTACTTTAGGAAGATGACTCGTTTAGCTCCGCACAGGGTGACTTTATGTATGTGCTAACTACTGCTGAAAATGTAGTTAGCATAAACATTTAACTACAAGTAAAATACACATACTTTTTGCATGATTAAATTTTTGTTTTTTGATTCATCTATGAACATGTTCAGGTGCTCGAGATGGAATCCAGGACCTCATACACATGAAACTTGAATTGTCCCACTAAGCTACCTCTTTGTAGTTCAGTTGAATTTTTAGTGCAGGGGGAAAACTTGGGGGGCGGAGAGGAAGGAAAGAACTAGCTGGGATCAGACAGTAACGAGGCTAAGGAGTTTACCTTGCATTCCTCTGACCCTGGCTCAGTCCCCAGCACCAAGCCAGGAGTAGCCCCTGAGCACTGCTGTGTGTGTCCCCCAAACCAAAAAATAAAAAAGGAAATAAAGTAGTCCATAGATTCAAAGAATCGTGAATATGTTTAAAATTAGCAACCACATTAATATATATATATATTTTTTTATAAAAAAATTTTTAATAGACATCGTGAGGTACAGTTGCAGACGTACACATTTTTGTGCTTGGGTTTCAATTCCACACATACTAGGGGAAAAGGGAGCTCAGATAAAGAAGGGAACACCAAATAGAGGTGTTGGGAGGATCCTCCCAGGATGGGAGAAGCATGTGGAAGGTAGACTATAGACTAAACACATTAATATTTTTAATTACATTTTTTAAAAAAATATTAGTTCAGGCTCCAGAGTTTACAATACTGTTGATAATAGGATTAGAATTTCGCTTACCAAGTTCCAGCACCACACCCTTCACCAGAGTATCTCACTTCTTCCACCATTGTCCTCCTGTCCCACTACTTCTTCCCAACCTTCTCTCCCTCCCTTACTATAGACAGGTTCTTAGTTTTTGCCACCTTTGAGTTTTTGTTAACCCATTAATTGCCTTTGTTGACCCCTTAATTTCCTTTATATCCTACATATGGAGAGGTCATTCTGTGTCTGTTCGTCTCCTCCTAACTTCACTCAGCATGATACTCTACAGATTTATCCATGTAGATAATTGCATAATTTCATTTTACAGCTGAAGTATTGCATTATGCATATGTACCATTTTTTTTTAAATCTAGTCATCTATTCATGGACACTTAGGTCGTTTGCAGATTTTGACTACTGTGAATAGTGATGCAATGAATAAAGGAGTGCACGTGTCGTTTCTGAATAGAGTTTTTGGTTCTTTGGGGGTAGTTGCTCAGAAGTGAAATTGCTGGGTCACATGGAATCTCAATTCCTAGTTTTCTGACAAGTGTCCATATTGTCTTCCCAAAAAGGCTGCAACAGTCGACATTCCCACTAGTGAATGAGAGTCCCATTTTCTCCACATCTGGGCCAACACTGTATTTTTTTTTTATACTGTTCTTTTTTTGATATGTAGGGACTGAGTTTAAAATAACATCCTCTCTATCCTTGCATGGCAGCCTTAGAACCATAGAGACAACCACATAGTCTCTCTTACTTTGTGTCATGAGTGCAAAGGTGCCAGAAAGCAGAAACTTGCAATAAAATTGCCCTGGAATTCAGTGTCCTTCCTTACCAAAATTGTACATTTTTGAAAAACCACTCTAAAATCTGTAAGGAATTTAATCTTCCTTAATTGAAAGAAGGTAACACATTTTTTATTTTTGGGCCACACGTGACTTTGCTTAGGGCTTACTCCTGGCTCTCTGCTCAAGGAGCACTTTCTGGCAGGGCGCAAGGGACCATATGTTGTGCTGAGAATTGAACCCTATAGGGTCAGCCGGAAACAAAGGCAAGTGCCCCACCCAATGTACTTTCTCTGCAGCTGATTAAAAATTAGTTCTTACAAAATGATTCTGAAGGTGGTGGTAGCAGCGCTGTGGCCTGTCCATTGCACTTTGTTTTGCATTGTAAACTGCTTTATAATGTTTTATGCTTTTAAGAAAAGAGCGTTTAGCTCATTGGAATTGATAAAATTACAGCTTTGTCCTTCCTTAGATGAAGAATTGCCAACCTGCTAATGCTGAACGTCCTACTTCTGCTCGGATCTCATCTGTGCAGTTTCATCCAGGTGCACAAGTTGTGATGGTTGCTGGACTAGATAACTCTGTATCGTTATTTCAGGTAGGCATTTTGGATGAAGACCTGTAGTGAAGAATGTTTACCATCAGGATACAGGGTCTGTGGAAGTGACCAACAGGAACATTTTGCACTGCCTTACAGGTTGACGGCAAAACGAATCCTAAAATCCAGAGCATCTATTTGGAAAAGTTTCCGATCTTTAAGGCTTGTTTTAGTGCTAATGGAGAAGAGGTTCTGGCTACGAGTACCCATAGCAAGGTTCTTTATGTCTATGATATGCTGGCTGGAAAGCTAATTCCTGTGCATCAAGTGAGAGGTAGGCTTTTAATGAACACACAACTGATTGTTGCCCTCCCTTCTCCTTCCAAGCCCACAGTTTAGTTCATTAAACAGTTTTTATAACCGCTTGTTCCCCCTTCCCCATAGGATTCTTAAGAATAGCTTACATTATTTGTGAATCTTGTGTTGAAATGTATTTGAATGAAAATAGGTAATTGATTTTATTGAATACTCAACTATGAGAAAATCATAATTTGGAAATGCCTTCCACCCCCACAATCAAAAAAAGGAGATGCAAAACAAAATATCTGAAAAGTTATTAGCATTTGATGCAGTAGAAAGAGCCTGATCATGGAAGCTAGAAAACCTAGGTTATACTTTCTTGAAAAAATTATTGTCATCTTTCTGATGTTTATGATGTAATAAGGATACCTCCCACCAGTGCTGCTTATAATAGAAATTTGGTTTACATAGCACAGCGGGTAGGGCGTTTGCCTTACAAGCGGCCAACATGGCCGACCCGAGTTTGATTCTCGGCGAGCCCGGCAAGCTACCGAGAGTATTCGATATGCCAGACACAGTAACAACAAAGTCTCCAATGGAGACGTTACTGGGCTCGCTCGAGCAAATCAACGATCAACGGGAGGGCCTTTACCTTTACCTTTACCTTTAAAGGAAATAAAGCATTGCTTTTGGTGATTGTGATATATTTTAAAGAATGAACTACTTTCTAAGTATACTTTTTGTCAGGTGAAGTAATATCTTTCCTCTGCTATGCCCATTCTTCTCTTGCATTCCCCTGGTCCTACTGTGACAAAATACAGTGACACCTTCATGAATCCTCTGGGAACCAAAGCCTTGTAATGAGGTTTGCTTGGTTGATGTTATAAATCTTAGGAGGTGGTGGCATATACTATAGCTCACTGGCAGCCCAGTTGCACATGTGTGGGGCTGTAAAGGATTTTGTACAGCCTTATTTTTACTAGTGGTTGGAAGAAATAAGGCCAACTTTCAGCTTTGTTAACATTCATATTGTTTATTTTCTTTTTCTTTTTCTTTTTTTTTTTTTCGTTTTGGGTCACACCTGATGATGCACAGGGGTTACTCCTGGCTCTGAACTCAGGAATTACTCCTGGTGGTGCTCAGGGGACCATATGGGATTCTGGGAATCGAACCCGGATTGGCCGCGTGCAAGGAAAATGCCCTACCCGCTGTGCTATTGTTCCAGCCCCCCATAATGTATATTTTCAACTCTTTCCTATGTTCTCTGACACATTTTGTAATTCTTTCCAAATCGATTAATCTCTTTATGTAATCATACTTGATGCTTTTCCTCTACTAACGTTTTTATGAATCACCCCGGGAGCTTGTTAAAGTGCAAATTCTGGTTCTGTAAGTCTGAATTTGGGATGATGGTGGTTCTAGCAGCTCAGGTGATATGGTTTTGCAGAGGAACCTCACTTTGAGTTGTGAAACTTTAAAGCATTTCCTTATATCAAGAGAAATTTTCCTATATCAGCACTATATAGTAATTGCTGGTTTTATCTGACCATGGCATGGACCTTGGAGAAGCAAGCCATGGTCAAGATAATAATCTTGATACTTTCTTAATTATGATAAACAAGACCTGGACCTGCTGCTGTTCAGGTTGTTTGTCCCATCACTGGCATCTTAAGAGATTGCATTTATCCTTTTCCCCTCAGCATTTACTCTTTACTCAGTAAGAATAGCCAAGTAATAATGATATTGATTATAATAGTAACTATGAGTTAGACGTATTTATTTTGGTCATGGTATGCCTCTGAGTACCGTCCTGTCTTCTGTCATTGTTTACCGCTAATGTCCAAGGATGTAGTTCAGTGGGAGAGCCCCAGACATGCATGCTTGAACCTGAGATTTTCATCCTGGGCATTGCCCACGTCGCTTGTTACTCTTCATTGCATTTCTGGGTAGGACTCCAGCACCACCAGTGTGCTCCTCAACCAAGAGTATGTGACCCCCTGAGTGCTCCTAAGTTGTCTCCAAACATTAAATTTACTTAAGGCTAAAGTTAAAGACATTGACCCACCTGCAGACAGGGAGAGGGGGTTGGCTGTGTCAGGAAGGAGTCCTTAGGCACTTTGTCTCTGTTGTAGGCACACTCGCTGTGTTTGCACAGGTCCCACGCAGTAGGGATGAACTGAATCTCTCACCTGCAGTTACATTGGTAATTTCGGAGTAAAAGAGAAATTGGCTAAGCACTTTGTATCTGGGTACTTATTCAGTCATGCATGTGGTCATGCTGGTTGAGTCTAACGTTGGTTTTGTTTAATTTGAATGCATTTCAATAACTCCGGGGATCAGAAACCCTTAATTGTTGATTTTTTTTAAGTTTTTGAAAAAATACTTATTTTATGTCATTGATTGATCTCCTTTCTTAGGTTTGAAAGAGAAGATAATAAGGAGTTTCGAAGTTGCCCCAGATGGGACCTTCTTGCTCATAAATGGTGTTGCGGGATATTTGCATTTGCTGTCAATGAAGGTATAACTCATTCTTAGTGGTTGGCTTGTTCTTTGAGGATAAGATACTCATGTCTTGAGCCATAGTTTCTGGTCCTTCAGTCTGCATGTCTAGTAGAGAAGCGTAGCAGAACTTGGGCAGAAGCTGTGGGCAGTTGGGTGACACCTTGGAATATTGGGGAAAGCAAATACAGGAACAACAAATAAGAGCTCGAATTTTTTAGAAAGTCATTCCACACAGTTTGATTTGTTCATTTACCTCCTTATGAATTTGATAAATAACACGTTTCTTCCAGACTAAAGAATTGACTGGTAGCATGAAAATCAACGGGAGGGTTGCAGCATCCACATTTTCTTCAGATAGTAAGAAAATATATGCATCTTCTGGTAAGTTAATGACATGGTGATAAAAAGTTTTTGATGCTTTAGATGTGGATGATAACTGCTTTTTTTTTTTTAAGTAAGAAATAAATTTCATTTGTAGAGTTCATTTTTGTCATTTTCGCTGTCGGTACTGAAGGGCCTTTAATGGATTTTGGGGAAAGCTGGGGGAAAAGTGCAGGTTCATTTGTTTTTTTTTTTTTGCTTCATGGTTGAATCCAGGGCCTCACACATCTCCAGCCTGCATCTCCGACCCTGAAAATGTTTATTGTAAGGTGACCCAGTCTTAAAATTTTCATTTTCTCTCTTAAAAGGTGCTAGTTTTAGTTTCTTTTCATGATCCCCCTTTAATTTTTTTTTCTCTTTATTTTTGGTACTAGAGTAGGTAATGTGAATTTTCTTCATTGTTGATGGAAGACAATCCAGATCTCCTCACTGTTTTGCATTTTTGACCAACCTTCCTCGTCCCTGATGAGCTCTGTCTTACGCTGTGCTGCACTTCTGCCTTTTGGACAACCCATTTGCTCTTTGACTCTCCTTCCATTCCTGAGGGATCTTGGGGCCTTCATAATTTTAGAATGGCTGCCATTGTTTGGTGGATGATGTTTGAGTAATGTTCCTGTGAGTAGTGTTCTAAAATCTTTGCATAGCTTATTAGCATAAATATTGTTTGTTAGGGAGGAGCCTTTGCTAATATGTTAATTTTTCTTTTTAAATTTAATTTTGGTTTTGGGGGTCACACCTGGTTGTGCTTGGTGCTTAACTCCTCCTCCTGGCTCTGAGCTCAGGACTCATTCCTCTCAGAGCTCAGGATTGTATAGAGGTGCTGGGGATCAAGCCGTGAGACAGGCACCTTACCTGTTCTACTATCTTGATTTTTTTTTTCTTTTCAGACTAACTTAACTGTCTAAACTTTTTGTTATGTTTTTTAATTTGCTACTGTCTAACCTCGACTTCTACTCCAGCTTGGGGAATTTTGTCAAAATTTTGAAACAGTGACATTCATTGAATTCTCACTGGAGAAATAAGAATAAAGGAAGATGAACTTCAGAGCTGTTTAGACGAGGGGTGATACCTTTCTACAGGCAAAGAATTTTTTCAGAAATTGTAGTGCGTATGGGGAGGATGGTGATTAGTTTCACATGTTGCAGGTGACAGGAAAAAAACAAGGATGATTTTGGCAATTAGATGCCCATTTGTGTGATTTCACAAAGTAAATTGGGGGTGCTGTGCAGATGCCCCTCACCTACCTCCCCAACTCCTCAGGCCACCCCAGACAGAGAGAGAGGGAAATGGGGGACCACAGCCTGATGGTGAAAATGGCCCGTTTAATGCAGAATATCTGAGGGGGGTAAGGATATAAGTGTGATTGATCATTTACATAGATAAACATTTGGCAGATGCAATTCTCTTGGGGAGATTAACTCAAGGAGACATTCTGTCTATCATTGCTTTTATCTTTCCCTCTAGTTGTATAATATTTGCAGTTGTTTGGATAAATACAGTAAGCGACAAAGATCCCAACACTTAGTTCTCTAGGCTCTGAGAGCAAGGAAGGCTTTTACCGTAAATCCCAGACTAAGTCCTCAGGTCGGTTCAGCTTGTCCTTTCCCGTGGGGGTCCTGTCTCTTAAGTTGTAACAGCTTGCATCAAGACAGGCTTCCAACTATGGGACAATATTCCTGGCCCTTGGGTCTACTGTCGTTGGATGTTGGTTTCATATTATGTTATTTTATATTCTCCAAATGAGTGCAGTCATTCTGTCCCTCTCTCACTCCTTTCACTTAGCGTGATACATTTCTTATATTTAAATTAGTAGGTGATAGATAAATTGTACAATGTCTTTCTGTTTGTTCTGGGACCACACCTGACATTGCTGAGGGCTACTCTTTGATTCTGATTCTGTCCTTGGAATTCACTTCTAGAGGTACGTGGGGACCCTCTGGTGCTGTGGTGGGGATTGAATCTAGGCAAACCCATGCAAAGCACTCTACCATTGAACCACATCGCCTGCCCTGCATTTATATTATGAACTGTTTTGGCTCAGTTCATTCTTGACTTACTCCTTTTCTGATCATCATTTAAGCGTATATTATATTAGGAACTCTGGGCTGGAGCGATAGCGCAGCGGTAGGGCATTTGCCTTGCATGTAGCCAGCCTGGCCAACCCACGTTCGATTCCTCCGCTCCTCTCAGAGAGCCCGGCAAGCTACCGAGAGTATCTCACCCGCATGGCAAAAGCCTGACAAGCTGCTCATGACGTATTCGATATGCCAAACACAGTAACAAGAAGTCTCACAATGGAGACGTTACTGGGCCCACTCGAGCAGAACAACAGGAAGACAGTGCTACAGACAATGGTATTTGTTAATAGTTGTTGGGAGACCAGTGCTAAGGAAGTATTTTGTTTTGGTTTTTAAAATTACTTTTCTTTACTACACTTGCTGTGTTCGTGGCTCTGCTCTGCTCAGGGTCACTCGTGATGGTGTTGGGGTGGGGACGAATCATAATGCAATGCTGAGCATCCAGTCAGCATTGGCTGCATGCACGGCAAGTGCCTTCCCTCCCAGAGTATTTCTCCAGCCTGCATTTTCAGAGTTTTGCTCCTGTGGTTTATCTCCATGAAGTGGAAGTTTTCCTGAGAATTCAACCCAAGCCATTCTTATTGTAAAATTACTGTTTATTAAGGACTAGTTATGTAAGAAATGTTTTAGATCAATTTTTTTAGATCTAATATAAATATAGAGTATTTATAGTAGATCTTTATTGGTAGTACCTTGTGCTAGTTTGGGCTGGAGCGATAGCACAGCGGTAGGGCGTTTGCCTTACAAGCGGCCAACGTGGCCGACCCGAGTTCAATTCCTCCGCCCCTCTCGGAGAGCCCGGCAAGCTACCGAGAGTATTCGATATGCCAGACACAGTAACAACAAAGTCTCCAATGGAGACGTTACTGGGCCCGCTCGAGCAAATCGACCTTGTGCTAGTAAAACTAGACTTAGAATGGTTAGTTCATTTGCCTTTGAAGTTTAAAACAAAATTAACCAAACCAAGTCTGGCAAACTCCCCGTGGCGTACCCAATATGCCAAATACCAGTAACAATGATGGGTCTCATTCTCCTAAAGAGCCTCAAATATAATCTCAGGGCTAGGATGAAGGAGACGTCACTGGGGCCTGCTTGAGGCAATCGACAAATGACAGGATGGTCGTGTCGTGATTAACCAAACCAAGCTGAAGTGATAGTACAGCGGGTTGGATGTTTGCCTTGTACATGGCTGACCTGGGTTCCATCCTCTGCATCCCATTTGATTTGGTCCCCCGAGCACTACCAGGAGTGATTTTAGAGTGCAGAGCTAGGAGTAACCCCTGAACATCACCAGGTGTGTCCCAAAAAGCCCCTGGTCCGCCCCTTCCCCCACAAAAAAAACAACCAAAATTAACCAAAACCCGTTTGGACTTTCCTTCAGGGGATGGGGAAGTTTATGTTTGGGATGTGAACTCCAGAAAGTGCCTTAACAGATTTGTTGATGAAGGCAGTCTCTATGGATTGAGCATTGCTACATCGAGGAATGGACAGTACGTTGCTTGTGGGTAAGTAAAGAGAGGCTTGTAAAACTTGTAATTGCATTGTGCTAATAAAATAAGAAAGTTCCAAAGAGTTGATGATATTGAATGGTGCTTGAATAGTTCTGTTTATGAACAATTCAGTAATAAAGTTGGTATACTTCTATCGTTGGGAGAGGGGGATTGGAGTTTTTGGGCCACTCCTGTGGTGTTCAGGAGCTATTCCTGACTCTCTACTTAGGAGTGCTCCTTGGTGGTGCTCAGGGGACCAGGTGTAGTGCTCAGAATTCAGACAAGGCTGGATGGAAGGCAAGTACCTTAACTTCTTTGAGTTCCATATGGTCTCTTTGGCCCCCAAACCAGACCTTTTAAAAAATATATGTATGTTTTTATTTTTTAATTTTGAGGGATCATACCTGCCAGTGCTCTGGGGTGCTATATCAGGGCTGGGGATTGAGCTGTGTCGCTACATGTGAAACAACTTAACCCCTGTACTATTTATCTGGCCCTGCACAGGTCTGATTCTACATCTGACTTAATGTAGTGTTTAATGATAATGCCTGCTCTTCAGCAAATACTGAATTACCTTATGTCCTCGTGTTTTTTCTTTTGAAATCCCCATTTGATCACATTATTTTCCTATTTCCTATTACTATTTTGCTTTCTCATTGATAAGGAAGCAGATTTAGTTAAACTTTGGGTTTAAAACTCATTTTTAGGACAGTGGAGATAATTCAAAGTCCTTGTCCCTAGCCCTGCATGGTTCCCTAAAACACCACTGGTTACGGCTTCCCATAAAAAATAAAAAGTGATTTTATAGAGGGCAGGGCATAGAAGATGGCTAAACCTTGCCACCCCACACATTATTTTAATATCCAACAGTTTTTTTTTAAGTAGCCATGAATCACCTAGAATATTCCTTATAATGATAGTGTAACATTTTTACATTTATTTTAACTTAGTATTTATCAGTTCTTAAGATAGTTTACTATGTACTTTATCCTAACAAACATCTGTGTGGTAGCCAGAGTATATAAATTTTTTATTTCCAATTTATTAAAAGTAAAACCCAAAGAATTTGGTTTTAAGCAAAAGCACTGGCTTATTTGATGCATTTTTCCCCTCTTGGCTAGGGACATATCAAAACATCACAAAATCACAAATCATCCTGTTATTCGTCGATTGCCTCGAGCAGGCCCCAGTAACGTCTCCTTCATCCTAGCCCTGAGGTTATATTCAAGGCTCTTTAGGAGAATGAGACCCATCATTGTTACTGGTATTTGGCATATTGGGTACGCCACGGGGAGTTTGCCAGACTCTGCCATGTGGGCAGGCTACATTCGGTAGCCTGCCACTTTGTCCAAAGTAGGACATATCAAAACATGTTGCATAAAAATACTGTTTGATCGTATTGCTGAAACTTTGAAAATTTGGGGCCGGAGCGATAGCACGGTGGGTAGTGTGTTTGCCTTGCACGCGGCCGACCCGGGTTCGATCCCTGGCATCCCATATGGTCCCCTGAGCACCGCCAGGAGTAATTCCTGAGCGCAGAGCCAGGACTAACCCCTGAGCATTGCTGGGTAGTGACCCAAAAAGCAAAAAAAAAAAAGAAACTGAACATTTTATCTAGACATATTACTGTTTTATCACAAAAAATAAAAAGCATACAAAAATGATTTGTGCCCTTGGAAAAAAGATGGCTTTATTCTCCTACTTTAGTCTCAAGATGGGTAGGAGGAGACATTGGATACTTAAAATATGATTGTAAGCTGTCAGATCTGCCAAGTGTTGTGTTAGCACTTTTCAAAACTTCCTGAGTGAATTTTTATGACAAAATACAGTTGATCCATAAAGAAAATTCAGTTAACTTTTCCATGAATGGTAAGTCAGATGGGTCTTATTGTGAAATATGGCACACTTCCCACTCTTCTATCACAGTGTTCATTTCTTCGAGGTTAAAATTGCGGCAGCTGCATCTGAATGTCTCTCCCCATCACCTTGGGTAGCTTTCCAATTTCTGCTCTCATTTCTTTATGTATGTTCTTGATTGTGCGATCCATTGTTTCTTTCATGTCCTCTTTCAATTTACTGGCTATCTGACTGTTTCATTGAATTCATTGAACATCTTCATGACTTCATATCTGAATTCTTTCTCAGAGAGGTCCCTTAGGTGAATAGCGCCTACTGAGGCTTCTGGTCCCCATCACCTTGGGATCCGGAAAAATGAAAAGGTAGAATTTGCTGTGGAATTTGGCTGTGATACCAAGTATAACATGTGCCTCACAACCGTGGCAGCAATTTGTGATTAGCAGGTTTTCTGGGAATAGCTTTGTTCTTCTACAGTGATTAATTTTTAGGAAATGTGTTTTGTTTTGTTTTCTTTTGTTTTGGGGCCATGCCTGGTGATGCTCAGGGCTTACTCCTGACTCTGCACTCAGGAATTACTCCTGGTGGTGGTTGGGGACCCATTTGGAATGGTCATCTGCATGCAAGGCAAGCTCCCAACTGCTGTACTCTTTCTCCAGCCCCTAATTTTCAGGAATTTTAAATATAACTAGTTTGCCTCTCTCTGGAGCAAGAGTAAAAATTAACTCCCACAAATTTGTGAAGTTAATAATTTTTTTGGCTTTGGTCTTTTTTTTTTTCTAGTCGCTTTGTACTCTTTGAAAGGCCCACAACGGAAAGAATCTACTTTGATTTGAAGTACCCTTTGACTTATTGGATTCTGATAATGCTTGTTCAAAGGATATACTGAATTTCTCTTATTAAACTCATAAATAAATGTCAATGATTGTTAGAGAAATTTCAGATGTTATAGGCATATCAGGAAGATGGTTTTTGGTGGTCGAGCCCTGTAGCCGACTGACTGAATTCCTCCCTTCCAGTCATTTTTATCTCTTGTTAAAGTGTTCTTTGAGTCAAATGGAGAAGTATGTGTGAATAAATTAAAAATATACTAAAGCAGTAAATATTTAATTCTAACATACTATTTTTGTTAGCTAAAATTTCCACTATATAATCTTTCAACTATATAATCTTTTCATGTGAGCTGAATAGGTCTTGTATTACGTAAATTATTTTTGGATCCTTATAGGCCATCGTAAGTAATTAAAAGAGTATGTTTGAGTAGTAGGAATGAGAGTACACTTAATGGGATACTTGTCACCGTTTCAGGTTACAATGCATTTGCAAGTTAAGTATGGGGTTACAAGGACTTGTTGTTTATTAATCATGGTCTAATCATGAAATCATGAATCTGAATAATAATGACAATGCTAAGATCATTGAGATTTACTTTTTTGGGGGGGGGCCTCACACCCGGCAATGCACAGGGTCACTCCTGGCTCTGCACTCAGGAATTAAATCCTGGCGGTGCTCGGGGGACCATATGTGATGCTGGGAATTGAACCTGGGTTGGCCGCGTGCAAGGCAAACGCCCTACCCACTGTACTATCACTCCAGCTCCGAGATTGACTTTTTAAATGTTTGCTGTTTTGTTTTTCCTATTTTGGGGCTATACCTGGCAGCACTCAGGACCTATTCCTGGCTCTCTGCTCAGGAATGACCCCCTAGTAGTGCTTGGTTCCTCATATACAGTGTCCTGTATAGAGCTGGGGCCAAACACATGCGAGGCAAATGCGTTACCTCCTGTACCTCTGAAGATTACTCTTTATATGCATTTGGGTATATATTCACTGCTGGTTAACATTTCAGTGAAGTTAGAGTGAATAATCACTTAACTGTGAACTACAAGTATTCCCAGCCGAATATAGTTTCAAAACTTAAGATTTCTGTCACGGCGATTGTTTGGCACTAATTTTCAATTTCTCACAATATAATAGAATTAAAAAAGAAGCAATAGAGGAAATTTAGCTTTCATTATTCACACATTGGAATGCTAGATTGGGTACAAATGCCAAGGCTGGCACTTATTGATGTCTTTGTTCACCTTTGCATCTTTGGCATGAAATAGACAATTAATATTGAAGGAATGAGTAACAGTGATTCAGTGTTTTCTTGGATTTTCTAGTTTCTACTTGCAATTGAAAGACAGCTGGAAGTAACAAGAGGGAAGGCTGGAGAGATAACGGGGTGGGCAGTTGCTGGATACCCTGTACTGCATGGTCCATGGAACACCACAAGGAGCAGATCCCCAAGTACCGAGATAGGGGTTTGGTGGGGAATACCACAACTTACGATCTCCACAACAAAAAAACCCTAGAGTTATTAACATAAGGTAGAACTGTAAAAAATGTTTGGGTTTTATCCTGGGATTAGCTCTGCAGCCACTGCTTCCTTGGAGTTCTTTTACTTTTCAGACCATCCCTGGTGGTATTTTGGGCTATACTATCTCTCCAGCCCCACAGGTTCCTTTGTAATATAACATGATACTACAGTTACTCATTAATTGGTGGGAGTGACTATGTATTCACGTATCTTGTGAAAGTTTTTTTCTTGCTTTTAATCTCTTGTACTACTTTTTTCTCTTTGCAGTTCTAATTGTGGAGTGGTAAATGTCTATAATCAAGAATCTTGTCTCAAAGAAACAAACCCAAAGCCAATAAAAGCTATAATGAACTTGGTTAACAGGTGTTACGTCTCTGACCTTTAATCCTGCTACAGAAATCTTGGCAATTGCTTTGGACAAAATGAAAGAAGCAGTCAGATTGGTAACATTGCCTTGCCCTTTCTTTTATCCTTGATAGTTTTTAAATCTAAGTTGAAAAATAATATAATGAGTGTTGTATTATTTTTTTGATGTAGAGTTATTTGTATTACAGCTTCTTGAGGTTATTGTAGAAATGAGATACAATAGCCACTAAATTAGTCAGTTCTTTTGGGAAAGCTGTGTTGTCTGATCTTAACATTTTTAAAGCAGCCTTTGTTTTCAGTTTTTCAGCATATGCATAAAGAAATATGTTTAAGTCAGACACTTAATTTCTTTGTGGTTGTCTTTCATCGACTTTTTTTTAGGGTTCCTTAATGAGTAACGAATGAGTGGAGGTGATTCTTAGGTTTTGAAAATAGATTGAACTTGAAAATTATGTGACGAGATTGCAATTCAAACTGCTGGCATAAAACTATGGACAAATCTTTGTATAAATTACTAAACTTGTTGATTTATTAGGAAGACTCCTAGTATTCAGTGTGTGGTCAGTGAAATACAGTACATTGGGGTGGGGTGTCACTGGTTTTTTTGTTTGTTTTTGTTTTCTGAAAAGGGAGTAGACCGAATTAAGTTTGTAAACATATAAAATCTCATCTGAAATTATGGATGATGACAGGTAATCGAGACATACAGAGTTGAATGGTAACTCTGTGGGTTTAAACATAAAATTTCTTGCAAGAGCGAAACATTTTTTGAAATGGGAGTAGTTAAAATTCCAGTCTGCTTAGGATAACTGTTCCCATGCTTAGGTTTTATTTATCCACACCTTGAGTATTGTCTATTTTGTCTTGTTCTTGGACTCGTGCTTTCCAGAATAGTCTTGTAGAAAGTGATTTCCTCCTCATGCTTAGACCTGGCTTCGGGTGAACTTTTGGCTCTTAAGCGGTTTGCATGGTTGTCCATCTTGAGGAGCAATTGCAAAAAGCTAAGAGTAGATATAGTGGAAAAAACAAAATGAAGAAAGGAAATTATGATATTGATATTACTTTGTTTAGTCTTCAGTTATATAAAATCAGTATTCTCATGTTTGAAGTGTTCCTTGTGATCAAATTTTCCTATTCTTTACTGTAGTCATTAAGTTAGGTACTGATGGATATTACTGTTGACTTTTCACTTTAGTTTATTTGTTCAGCAAACATTTGAGTCTCACAGGCACTAGCAAAACTTACGCTGCATTAACAACATTAAGAAAACGGGGCCAGGAAGATAACCCAAAGGCTAGAGTGCATGCTCTGCATGCAGAAGGCCCTGGTTTAGTTCTCGCCATTGCATGGTCCCCAAGCATTGAACTTGGTGTAGACCCTGAGTTCTGTGGAATGTTGTGTTCAGATCTCTTCCCTCTGTCTTAATTAAGAATGCATTGAAAATCAAATTTTGGAACACTTTGCTACAATAAGAGAATTGTGTTTTGTGTGCACTATAATCAAAATGAACAGTTTAATTCCAGCACAAAGATTAAAATTTAAGAAAGGAGTTCCCAGTTACTTTAGTTTAAAGCCTCTTAATATCTCCTTCCAGGTTCACCTTCCTTCCTGTACAGTATTTTCAAACTTTCCAGTTGTGAAAAAGAAGACTATTTCTCTTGTTCATACCATGGATTTTTCTCCCAGAAGTGGGTATTTTGCCATGGGGAATGAAAAGGGCAAGGCTCTACTGTATAGGTAGGTGTTAACATTAAGTAAGAAATATTTGTTAATTTCTTTTGAGAAAAAATGCCAGTCTGATATTTTTGCAGTTATGTACAATTTATTCTTTACAGTTTATTAATTATAAATGATTACCTATAGGAAGCTTAACTTGATTTTCATAGTTCTTCTATAACAAAATTGCATTTTTCTCCCATAAAATGTCACAACCAGAGAAAAGGTTAATCTGGAAAATTTGAGGGGGTGGTAGTGGCTTTTTAAAATTACACTACAATCAATATAGAAAAGTGTTAATTTTCGATATGCAAAATAATTATTTGATGTGTATATATGTTGCATTTGATCACCATACTAAGTTTGGTTAATGTCTCTCAGCACATGTAATTATTAAAATTATTAAAAAAATTTTTAACAAGAACTTTCACGTACAGGTTTCACATGCTACCGAAATTTGACTTAACTTTGTATGTTATTTTTTGACTCTGGGAATGCTATATAAATGGATGGCAGTAGTGTTCCCAGATCCTTTTAAAAATTTATGTAACTTACTAAATCCTACCAAATAATATTGTGCTACAGCTGGAATTCTTGTGTGCAGTCAGTGCATTATTATTGTATCATGGGCACAAAGCTATTAGTCGCCCCTACCACCCCCAGCTGTGACCCTAAAGGCCTCCTCACATTACATAATGATGTTAACTACAGTGAAACCTACCTAAACCTTTTTTTTTTTTTTTTGCTTTTTGGGTCAAACCCCGCGATGCTCAGGGGTTACTCCTGGCTCATGCACTCAGGAATTGCTCCTGGCGGTGCTCAGGGGACCATATGGGGTGCCGGGAATCGAACCTTTGTGGGTCATGTTGGCTGCATGCAAGGCAAACGCCCCACCCGCTGCGCTATCGCTCCAGCCCCAAACCTACCAAAAACTTGCATGCTATCCTAGTCCTGTTTCTGTACCAGGCATATTTGTCTGTGAAGCTGGAACAGACAACCCTAATTATATCATCTCTAGATGAGAGACAACAAGATGTCTCTTTATGGAGATCTGCGTGTTTCTCTTTTTGGGGTGGTTGAGGGGGAATAAGGGGTTTGGGTCACACTTGGCAGTCTCAGGGGTACACCTGACAGTGTTCAAGGGTCATTCCTGGCAGTGTATAGGGAACCAAACTAGGACCTCTTGCGTGCAGGCAAGCATTATAGCTTTCTTTTTTGTCTCTGACCCAAACTGTTGTACACCCTAGCATTGTAGTGAAAGCTGTATAGAAGCCTGTTTTTGTATGCTTCTGGGAATGCCCGCTTCTGAACTATGCTGAGATGCAAGTGGAGTGGGGAGGAATGTAAATGGAATTTGAGTAGATTGTTATGTAAAGAGAAGGTAGCAAACAATAATGATGGGGTTTTAAATTCTTTTTATTTTGAAAGGAAAATGGATTTTACCAGGAAAATTGATAATTTTATCATTTTATTTTCAGATCACTATTGGAGTGATTGAGTTCAGAATATATAAAAGGATGCAAGCTTGTACTGTACTTAGAAATTCTCTTGCAAAGCTTTGCATCATTATTATAACTGGATTTGTTTTTTTAAAGTAAGCCTTAAAGGGCATTGGAGTTTTCACCAGAGTAAAATGACAACATTTCTATTAGGTATGGTTGATAGGGTATTTTATAGGCTCCCAAATTTGATACTTTTCCCCTGAAATCTGAGTTATTAGCATTAGAATCCTACAGAATGTCAGATTGTGGAGCCTTAACCTGACTGCCTGCTGAGAATGATTGATTGCATTTTTCCCTTCGAAAATCTTCCTAAGTGCTGTTCTGTGATCTGATTGATAATCGCTTAATCACTTAACTTCCCGTTAGTCGTCGATTTGTTCGAGCGGGCACCAGTAACGTCTCCATTTGTCCCTGTCGCATGCTAGTGTAGCCCAATGGCATCTGTTCGCTCTGGGAACATGAAGAGCCTCAAACCGATCATTCATGATCTTCACAAAGAAGTCTGACCATCTGGTAGGTGGGCGGCCACGCGGTCTTTTGACATCCCGTGGAATCCAGTCGGTAACAGCTCTAGTCCAGCGGTCGTCTTTAAATCTCATTACGTGACCAGCCCATCTGATTTTTGATACCTTGGCAAATGAGACAGCGTCCCTGATTCTTGATCGTCGACGGATGTCGGAACTCCGAATTTTTTCTCTCATTTGAGTTAAACGTGATATTCCAAGCATAGCTCTTTCAATTCTTCTTTGGGAGACCTGAATAGCGTTCTCATCCTGTTTGCGCAGGGCCCAGGTCTCTGAGGCATATGTTAATGTAGGAAGAACAGTGGAATCAAAGAGATGTGCCCGGAGCCGGAGGTTCTTTGTCCTCTTAGCTATTTCTTCGACGTTCTTGAAGGCGTTCCAAGCCGCTCTCTTCCTCCTGTGCAGCTCGGGTGCCTGGTCATTTGTCATGTTGACTTCTCGACCTAGGTACACATAGCTGTTGCATTCAGAAATGGTCGTTCCATTGAGAGTGAATGGGGCGTCAGGAACGAGGCTGTTTCTCATAAACATTGTCTTCGTAAGATTCAACTGTAGTCCTACCTTTCCACACTCATGGTCAAAGTCGGCCAGCATTTGTGACGCTTGGCTGATGTTTGGTGTTATTAAAACAATGTCATCAGCAAAGTGGAGGTGGTGTAATTGCCGACCATCTATCTTCACTCCCATTCCTTCCCATTCCAGTCGTCGCATGATGTTCTCGAGGGTGGCACTGAAGAGTTTTGGTGAAATGGTATCACCCTGCCGAACCCCTCTCTTGACATCAACGATCACTTCTTTGTAGAATGGTGAGATCCTGGTAGTGAATCCGCAATACAGCTCACGGAGGATCTTGCTGTATTGGGCTTGAATGCCCTGATTGGCTAGGGCTTCAATGACCGCTTCTGTCTCAACAGAATCAAAGGCCTTTTTTAAATCAATGAACGTTAAACAGAGCGGCATCTTGAATTCCCGAGAAACCTCAATGAGTTTGGTTATTGTGTTGATATGGTCAATGGTGCTGAATTCTTTGCGGAACCCGGCTTGCTCGAATGATTGTCCTTCATCTAATGTTCTGCCAATCCTATTTAGGATGACTCGAGTGAACAACTTGTAGATGACAGACAATAGGCAGATCGGGCGATATTTGCCAATGTCATGGATGTCTCCCTTCTTGAACAGTAGTACGGTCCTGCTGGTTTTCCATTGTGACGGAACCTTGCATTCAGACAGGTAGCGAGTGAAGAGCCGAGCCAGTGTATTGATGAGTACTGATGGCAGGTTCTTCAGGTGTTCAGGTCTGACCTTGTCTGGGCCAGGTGCTGTTTGTTTCTTTACCAACGAAATGGCGTGTCGGATTTCGGAAGGGAGAATGTTGGGAACGACATATCCATCCCGTGGAATTTGGTATGTCGGCAAGTGGACATGGCTATCGAAGAGATTTGAGTAGAAGTCATGGATAATCTTCTCCATTGCCGTTCTGGAGGATGTGATGGATCCATCAGGACGTCGGAGGGCAGTCATCTTGGTCTTGTAGTTGGCAAAGGACAGGCGGGCGTAACGAATACTTTTCCCAGGTTCTGCCGCATCTACCAGTACTTCTGATCTTCTCTCTTTGAGGTCTTCCTTGATCGCATCTCTGCACTGCTTTGCGAGCTGGGAGGTTAGCTTGCTGTTGCCTGAGGCATGCGCCAAACCATGCTGGCGAATTAGCTCATCAACCACCCAGGGATCGGATTGCACACAGAAGACCCACCCTACCCAGATAAATACCCCACTGGCACACTTTTACTATTGACACTACCTCCACTACCCAGCTGTCTCCACACTCCAGGACGCTTTCCAGACCCGCGTGGCAGCTCCGGCCAAGACTCACGCACGACTGAAGACCCACAGAACAAGATAAGCGGAACTCTCTGAGACCTTGGACTGCAGCTCGGCGGACCCAGGGACAGAGTTTCTCTGCTTGCTCCCACCAACCACAGGTGACAAAGGGATTCTAATCTTCTGACTGATAATACTCTGAGCAATCAAAAAGTCGTTAAGATGATTTGTTCTTTACTTTTTCAGGTTGCACCATTATTCAGACTTCTAGAGAAATTGTTCGAAGTAAGAAATTTTTTTATTACTGCTTCTACATATTTTAGAGTTACGTTGCTGAGTTAGCAGAACTGCTACTGTTCACTGCACCTATTGTATCTTTATGGAGAGTAGTGGAATGCAAGAGTAGATCAGAAAGAATCTAGTTGTACTTGAACTCTGGGGAATTTCTTAGCCTGTATCTCAGCAATCTGGCTATTTTTCTCTGACGTTACATCTCTAATAATGAGTTCAGTAATGATCTTCAGAATGTAATCATTTAATACACAAGGAGAATATACTTTGCAGGAAGAGTAAGTCTCTTCACAACTTGCATGAGCCCTCTTATTTTGCAGATATTTCTTGAAAGATTTTTATGTGGCTTGTCCAGTAGCTTAATCGTGAATTGTCACAAACCCATTTAATGCAAATAATGATCATTACATTTGTGTTCAAATTTATAAGAGGACATACTTTGGTCCTGTAACTTGATCTTTGACCTGCGGTAAGATGGTAGGTAGTTCTGGGGTTGAGCTTTTTTCAGTTCTTTTTATCACAGTTGACATTTGGTCTTCAAGATTAATAGATATTGAGGAGAAATTCTGGGTGTGCGTAGAAATTTAGTTAAGGAAAATAATTTAAATTGCAGTTCTAGTACATGATTTGTTAATGACCAGTAGCCAGAAATCAAGTGTATCATTTCTTCTGTTCTTTCTTCAGGTTCAGCTGAGCCACATGAAAAGAATATCCTGATAAATCTTAGAAATTTTACAGAATGTATAATATGATTTATTGGTCCTGTTATACCTATTTAATAGAATTGTCTTAATAAACACATAACTTCTGTTTGAAAACAAGTGTATGTGATTGTTCTTTGTCTGCCTACTTGTACAACTTGGATACATTTAATAATAAACATGATAGGAGAATCTGGCTATAACTAAATACAATATAGGGTAGATATTTTATAACCAGCTTTGATCTTAACAATTCCCCATGTTTCAAAGTATCAGCCAAGAGTTCTGGTGGAAGTCATTGATAAAAGAGTCATGGTGCTAGCTCATCACTGTATCACTGTCATCCCGTTGATTGTGGAATTACTCGAGCGGGCGCCAGTAACGTCTATTCCAGCCCTGAGATTTAGTAGCCTCTTCTTACTCGTCTTCCAACAATTGGAGGCTCTTTCGGGGTCAGGGGAATGAGACCTGTTGTCGTTACTGAGTTTGACATAGCGAATACGCCACAGAAAGCTTGCCAGGCTCTGCCTGTGTGAGCGGGATACTTTTGGTAGCTTGCCGGGCTCTCTGACAGGCAGTTGTGCTATCTCATAAAATGAAATAAAGTGTTTATTTAAATGAAAGGTCTTTTCTGGATTTTGTACATCTTTGAAGAGTAGGATGGGGAGGTGGGATTCACAGTGCTCCAGGGGCATTGCTCTGCCAGTTCGGGCCAGATGGTTCTGTGCTAGGTTGCAGGGATGCAATGCTGCACAGGTTCTGCAGTATTTGGGGGGACCAACAGGTTCACACTTGGTGCTTGGGACCCTCTGGTGCTATACCTGGTGATGCTGGGGGCCCTGAAGTGCTACAGCTTCACATGGGGCTTCACTGTGCCTGCATAGCATGTGCCTCTAGCCCCAGATTTCAGTACTTTGAATGGTCATGATTATGTGGAAGGGAGGGAGCATGTGAAGACCTGATACGTTTGTGTCACCAATAGCTACTTCTGATATATCCATAAGGTAAAGGTAAAGGCCCTCCCATTGTTCGTCGATTTGCTCTAGCGGGCCCAGTAACGTCTCCATTGGAGACTTTGTTGTTACTGTGTCTGGCATATCGAATACATCACGGGCGGCTTGCCAGGCTCTGCCATACGGGCGAGATTCTCTCGGTAGCTTGCCGGGCTCTCCGAGGGGCGGAGGAATCGAACTCGGGTCGGCCATGTTGGCTGCGTGCAAGGCAAACGCCCTTCCACTGTGCTATCGCTCCAGCCCCATTAATCCAACTAAAATGTGTTTGATTCCGGTTTCAAGGTTAGTAATTCTTTAATCAGAATATAACCATACTCTAATCCCTTCATATCTTAGGGGAAAAGCTAACATTTAAAGTAATATTAAAGAGATTGCTTATGAGCAATATCTAGTAGGACAAGTTTTTGATCTCCCCTCCTTTTTAAAAATTGAAAAGGAAGAATTCAGGGTAGAAGAGAGAGATTTTCAAGCAACAGAAGATGGCTCTGGCTCTGCCCAGAGATCTACATGTCACCTACCTATTCCAACCAACAGGATTGGGGATTACCTTTGCTGTCTACAGGCCGACTGGGATGACCTGGAATGGCCCGGTTGGTTTGGATTGTGTTTGTTCTAGCATCTTTCAAGAATACTTGATTGTTAAAAAACGTTTTTTTATGTAGGGAATATGAGGAAAGAGAAAAAAGCATTTCGAGAGAATTCTGCTTCAGATGGGAGGGAGTACACGCCTTTTCTGTTAAGGTGGTCTGTTGTGAAATTGTGAGAATTCTTTGTCCTTCCCTTTGTTACCTATAACTTCCACAGTGAACCAGGGCAAAGCTTTAATATTCCAAAAATACTTATTTATTAGTGTCATTTCTCTTATGGGTTGCTAGGGGGCGGTATTGCATTACGCGAGTAATAGACCTGCCTCTAGCTTTTTACCATCACCCTGTCTATCTAGCTGAATCATTGTTTCAGAAAGGACCACAAACCATACTTGTTTGGATGCTGTTTTTAGGGTGTGAACGATAAGCAGAAGTTTGTTCTAGAGAGAATGATGAAAGTGGCGCTTAATGTGTTTACCTCTGCGTTCTTGCCTTCTCTGGATCGTTTTTTATATTTACTAGGCAGAGTAATGAATTCCAAGTTCTAATCTCCAAAGTACACAGAAATGTACTGTTATACAGAGAAGAGGTGCTACTAATCTTTTGTCCTGTCTTTTAGTACCATTTCCCCCCGCCCCCCCCCCCCCCTTTGTTGGGAGTTGGGAATTTGGATCAGCTTCTCATTGCTTCTCCTTGCAGTCAGGGCAAATTAATTCATCATCGAGATGCACCTGCTGTCAGGAACTTCCCTTGGCAGCTTCAGAGTATGAATGATCCAATTCTGTTGGTGCTGGGAGGGAGCTTGAGCTGTGAGCTTTTGCCCTCCAGAATCAACACAGGTTAGATTGAGGTTTCTTAAGCGTGGGAATTCGGTGAGTTGAAATCTTTATTGCATCCATTCCTCCATTCCTGTGAACTTTGAACACACTAAAGTATTGCCATTCTTTTGAAATTTCTCTGAGAAAAATTTGCTCAGCATCACTTACCATTAAGGAAATCCAAATCAAGAGGACTGTGAGGTCTCTCACCAATGAGAATGACATGTATCAAAAATAGTGGGAAAAATCTGTTGGCAGGGCTGTGGTAAAAAAAAAGGAATTCTCATTCACTTCTGCTGAGAATGTCTGGTTCAGCCCCAGTGGAAAGCAGTTCTCTATAAACTTAGAATTGAGATGCCATTATTATCCAGCAGTTCCACTTATTTTGTTTTTTTAATGTTTGATTTTTTTTTTAATTGAATCATCATGAGAACAGTTACAAAACTTTCAAGTTTAAGTCTTGGTTATACAATGATCAAACACCCATCCCTTCACCAGTGCACATTTTCCACCACCAAGAACCCCAGTATACCCCTCATCTCATCCCTCCCCTTGCTTGTGTGGCAGATGATTTCCACTTTACTCTCTACTTCGATTACATTCAATTTTTCATCAGAAGACCTACCATTGTTATTTGAAATTTCCCCCCAACAATCAGACCTGCTGAAAAGGCATCATTAGATAATTTGTTTTCTGTTGCTGATAATGACGAGCATATGCTTTTGGATTTCTGATGTTTTTAGTAATTAAGTCCGGAGGGATTTCTGCCAGAAGCCACTGGGTTCCGAGATTGGTTTGTGTGCCTCTGGAATCATGGCCATTCAGGAGCCGGAGAAGCCATGCGTGGGCAAAAACTTGGGTCTTGTCGAGGCAGAGAGAAGGGTCAGTTCTGGTCCCCATCCCATGAGACCCGGCATGTCTCGTCACTGCAGGCTTGTACCTCTCTGTCCAATAGACTCTGAAAGATGGTGGTCACCATGCTGCCACTGAGGGGAAAAGGTAGAAGGGACAATGCCCTTTCCCATCCGGGGTGGCATAGGGCCATAGCTTAATTCACAGTCCAGAAGCATTTCTGCCAGAAGTCATTGGGTTCCAAGATTGGTTTGCGTGCCGCTGGGATCATGGCCGTTCAGGAGCTGGAAGAGCCGTTCGTGGGCGGCAACTTTGGGTCTCGTTGGGGCCCAGCAATTCCACTTTTGAGCATTTACCCCCAAGACATTCGTTCCGAAGGACATCTGAACACTGTTATTGAAGCACTTCGTAAAATAACTAAGATACGGAATTAGTCTTCTGGTCCAACAGCAGTTGAATGGATTATGAAGATGCAGTATATATACATAATGGAATATGACACAGCTGCAAGGAATGACAAACTCTACAACTTGCTGCAACCTGGAAGAGACAGTGTTGAGTGCAGCTAGGAGGAGGAGAAACACAAGATGAATTCACCTGTGGTCTAAAGAATAACTGGATGAGGAAATGTAAAGATTCCTAGATCACCCTTGACCATAGAGTCTAGGGAAAAGGACAGAGAATGGAAGAAAAGATGGGGTGAGGTGAGGAAGAAGATGAGAAAGGGAAGAAATGGAAGTAATGAAGTCGGGGGCCTCCGGTATACCTGCGATGTGGGAAAGTGGCATACTTATATATCTAAAGTGCAGACTCAACAACACTGGAAACAAGATTTAAACTGCAACCACTGAACTTTGAAATGTACCTCTCAAAGTGGCTTGTGAGGGTGGGTGTGGGGGGACTGGGAGGGAGCCCGGGAACACTGATGGCGGGAAATTGACGGTGGTAGGATTAGTGTTGGAATATTGTATGCTTCAGAATAAATCACACTTTTTTTAAAACTTGAAAATTTGCTTGAAAACTGCTTAGAGCAAACTACAGGTGAGCAGTCCCTTGTCTTACTGGGTTCTGTGTGTGTGCATATCTGTTGAGAGAGATGCTCCTTTCTCAGCCTAGACAGAAGCGGTTGTCACCAGTAAATCTGTACTGCTGGTGGGGACGGGATGCAAGCAGGTGCCCATGAAAGGAAGTGCTTACTCACCTCTGCTGTCAGCTCCCAGCTACCTTGTAAATGCACCTCCAGATTGATCGTGCAGATACCCTGGTCTTCTGTTACTCTAATCTGGAGGAAATGGCTAGGACAGGAGGTGTGGGTACAGGTAGAGTGGTCGGTAAGGACAGCTTATGACCCTGGTGCCGTCTTTATGCTGCTATCAGGATGTAACTTTCACCTCGTGCAAATCTCATGGTTTCTGTAAGGAATGTGATCTCTTTACAGTGAAGTAAATGGGCTCAGAAGGGCTGCACAACACAATTCTACAGCCATGGAACAGTGGTCCTCAAAGTGGGGTGTGCATAATAAAATGAGATACAGCCCATTAAATCATGCGAAGGAAATACTGGAACTTCTTTGCTGTGTAAAATGTATTTTGGCTTTATAATGTGTTTCTACTAGCGATCATGTGGATAATTGTACAGAAATATGTTTATGTTAGGGCCACTGATTTAGATGCCAGTGCAGCGCCACAAGAAGCAACAAACTCAACATGACCCAACAGCCCCAACTCAGCACATTTCTATCCTTCCCTGCACTTTACCGAATTGTTTTTGTATTCTCTAGACCAGTGTTGTTCCTCAACATTTTCACACTATGGTCCCCTT